TAACAAAGTAAAATCGACCACTGAGCCACATCCCCAGCCCTATTTTGTGTTTTATTTATAATATCCTCCAGCCTCAGCCTCTGGAGCTGCTGGGATTACAGGCATGTGCCACCGTGCCCAGCTTCTTCTATACTTTTTTGCTACATGCTTGGACTATGCTCCCTTAGCCACCCACTTTGGGAGGCATCCCCATGGTGCCTCTTCTTGACAAGTCCCAGTTCTCTAAGGCCACCCTCTGGGCTAGGACCCTCTCCTCTCCCCTCCATGAGACCTTCAGTTAGCCAAGTTCTCACTTCCTTAAATGTCCCATYATACATGGGGAAGCCTGTTACCCATTGAGCATCCCCACTGAGCATGGTCAGAGTCACACACTCACTACACTCTTGGCATGTGGGTAGGTGCCCTTTAAAGTTCTTTTTGATACCTTTTCTGAAACACCTTGGATCATCCTTCTCCATATTCCCATCTTCATTTAGAATCTGACCTTGGTTCTTTGGGCTTTTTCGAGAATATTATATTTACCAAAGTTGAACAGCAGCAATTTTTGCCATCCCTACACGGTATTTTTTTTTCTTTTTTCTGCTTTTTGTTGTTGTTTTTATGTTTTGTTTTGTTTTCTTAAGGTTTTGTTCTTACCTTCCTCCTTCTTTCCTTCTTTCATGTATTAAACTCACTCTGGATTGCATCTCCTTGACCCTCCTCCAAGAACTTTCTTTACCAGGAGCCTTCTTCTCTTATACCCATAATGCCTCTCTTGACTGGCATCTTTTATTAGCCAATAAATACCAGCAGATTTTCCTTTTTCCAAGTTTTCTAAGGAATCTCCATACTGCTTTCCAGAGTGGCTGCACCAATTTGCAGTTCCACCAGCAGTGTATGCATGTACCTTTATCCCCACATCCTCAACAGCACTTACTGTTGCTTGTATTCTTGAAAATTGCCATTCTGACTGGAGTGAGATAAAATTTTAGAGTAGTTTTGACTTTCATTTCTCTAATTACTAGAGATGTTGAGCATTTTTTCATATATTTGTGGATCAATTGTATGTCTTCTTCTGAGAAGTCTTTTCAGTTCCTTAGCCCATTTTTATTTGTAGTTTATTTTGACATTTTTCACATCACTCCAATCACTTATTTAAATTTTTTTTAGTTTAATTGTTTATTTTTATGTGTGCTGAGGATYGAACCCAGTGCCTCACACGCGCCAGGTAAGTGCTCTATCCCTGAGCCACAACCCCAACCCCTCCAATCACTTTTTTAAAAGCAAAGTCCAGGGGCTGGGGATGGAGCTCAAGTGGTAGCACACTCGCCTGATATGCATGAGGCACTGGGTTTGACTCTCAGCACCACATAAAAATAAAAAAAAGATACTATGTCCACCTAAAACTAAAAAATAAATATAAAAAAAGCAAAGTCCAGCTAGAAACTGATTTTTAATGTCTAGTTTTAAATCTTTACTTTAAATACTGTTTTACTGTCTTATAAAACATTGTTTTATGCTTTGTAGTTTTTAATTCATTTTCTTGCTTTTATTCTTTATGTGTTCACCTTTAGCAATGGTAATACAATTGATGATTTGAAATTTTTCAATGTACAATGATTTGAAGTTTTTAATTCTCTATGACAAAAGATAAACAAACCAGTATACTAAGACCTCCTATACAAGACAAAGAAAATAGGAAGTTTTAGTTTTTCTCAGTCTCAAATACATTTTGTGGTCTTCATTAATTCAATAAGAGATTTAAAACTGGGGGTTTTATTTGTCAAATGATTATTATTATTTAAAATAAGTATCTTCTGTTCAGATACATTTTAGTTACTTATGTTAGTTATTTAATTTGGTTTGATTTAATAGTAYATTTACAAACATTAATTAACTAATTGACTTTTATAAATACATGTTTAATTAATCTTAGTGGAAAATACACAGAGGTCCTTGTCTCGCTTTGTCAGAGRCAGAAAATAGAACAATGAAGGCATAAGAGCTCTGTTTAACAAGGCTGGGACGGGCCACATTTTACATTAATWTAATCCTATTGAAGTGAACTTGCAGTAGATAATATCTTATTTCAGAAAGGAAACATTAAACACAGGCAATCCTTATTAACTTAAAATCATTTTATGAATTCAGACCTACCATGATTATAGTGGCATCAGGGCTACATAATTTCATGAGTTAACTTCGGTTTTCAACATCAAACCTTTTGCTGAATCTGAATCATGAAAGTCTGCTGGGCTTTTTAAAATCCCARTGGGTTTTTTGTTGTTGTTGTTATTGGATTTTTTTATTATCTTTTTTTTTAAACTGCACCAGCTCTGGCATTCTTGCTAGGCATTGCAGATGTCTTGCAGAGGTTGTTCTGTATTCTAAGCTAACACATATGCAGCATGCTATGATTTGCACATGATTAGTCCCCACCAAAGCTCATGTTGAAATTGGATTCTCAATGTAACCATGTGGAGCCATGCAGGGACCACTARGAGGTATTAAATCAGTAAGGGATTAATGCCTTTGTTTGGAGAGTGAGTTCTTGCTCTTGCAGGACTGAACTGGCTACAGGAATGGATTGTTACTAAGAATTCCACTTCCTTTRCTTGCTCTCTTGCTTCCTCTCTCACCATATGACCTCTCTTTGCACAAATACCCTAGTTATTCTGCTTTCCCGCCACGCTTGAAGCAGCCTGAAGACCTTACAAGAAACCAAGCAGATGTGGCATTGTGTTCTTAGATTTTCCTACCTTTGGAATTATGAGCTAAAATAAACCTTTCATTTATAAATCACCTAGTGTTAGTGCTATAACAACATAAAATGGAGACACACCAGATTACAACAGCAGCAGCAGGAGGAGGAGGAGGAAGAGGAGAGGGAAGAAAGTTCTGTGTGGAAAGTTTGTGTATGGGGCAGTCACTCTGGGAAGAGGTTTTGGGCTGCCTTCATAGTAAATCAGTCACTCTACTGTCATGTATAACTAATTAAAACAAATTTAAAAATTTATAAAAAAAATAAAAAATATCAGTCACTGTGAGCCTCTGCCCTAGTATACATAATTTGGATAGTCTCTTTCTACACAAAAGAAAGAGTTCTTATATATTTTTTAAATAATATTTTTTAGATAATGTGGTTTTAAAATTGCCTATCTTATTGAGAAAAAATAAGATGTGATTATGTCAGAAGTCATGGTGTGGTCAGAGGGAACATGTTCTGGAAATGTCCGAGGGCTCCCATCAAGACACCTTCCCACGCAGCTGCAATGCTAACCAAGGGTGAAGAGGAAAACAAGACTCTGAGAGGATCTGCTGTTACCTGGAAAAGGCCAGTTGCAGAGAGTAAAGAGTTTCTTCACTGCTAAAAATTATACATTAGCCTCCTTGTAGAGAAAAGAAAACAACAACAACAACAACAAAAAAAACAGGTATTTAAGTAAACTTATACCCTGAACATTGTGCTATGAGCTTCATATGCCTCTTTTATTTGATTTTCACGACAACCTGTGTATTGTTGGATAGCATTATCCCTACATTACAGAAGACTGAGGCCCAAATAAATTGCTCTAGAGAGCTGAGATAGAAATTCACTAGAATTGTTACATACTAAAGTTCTAGAGTTGTCCTTTCCTATATAAAATAAAAACGCGGTTTTCATTTCACACCTTTGTGGTCAGTAAAGATACTGAGTATGATTCCAAACCTCCTATATTTGGTAAAACTTGTTTGGTGATCTAACTAACACGTGACCTCTCCTGGAGAATATTCCATGGATGCTTGGGAGAAATGTGTATTCTGTTGTTGTCGGTTTGAATATTCTCTATGCCTGTGTCATAGCCAAGCCAAAGTGACTCCATTTTGTTTAGTAACTCCATCCTGTAAAACAACCATGCCAAATAGAAGGGTCAAGACCAGAGCAAGATGTTCTTTTCCTTTTGCTATAGAAACCTTTAAGAACACGGAACTACCTAATGGGGTATTGTTTCTGTAACTAGGGTAACATGGCTTGTTTCTGTAACTGGGTGACTGGGCTAATTGTGATTGGCTGTGTCCCTCCACCTGACTGCACTCTCCMGCTTCTGTAACCTGGCTTGCTTGCATTGGCTAGACCCCTGAACGTCCCTTTTGCGGTTTTCAGGCTTATAAGGTGTGCCCTTTGCAATTATTTGGGGCTGATCAAGGGAACAGCTTTAAGTTCTGGTAGCCACCAGTGTGCTTCAATAAAGGCTTGATTTGATTATATGTGAGTGGTCTGGAAGTCAATTTATGAAGCCCCAGGACGAAGCTTTAACTATAACACTGTTAGATCCATTTGGTCTATATTGTTGCTCATGTCTACTGTTTCTTTGTTGAATTTTTTTGTCTAATTGTTCCACTATTATTAAAAAATAGGGTGTTAAAATCTCTTATTAATATCATATTGTTGTTTATTTCWCCTTTCAGTTTTTTCAGTGTTTGCTTTATATATTTAGGTGCTCTAATGTTGGGTACATATGTTTTTATAATTGTTGTATCTTCCTGGTAGATTGACCTTTTGGTCATTATATAATCTCTTTCTTTGTCTCTTGTCATAGCTTTTGACCCAAAGTCTGTAAGTCTATACCCCGTTGTCTTTTATTTACCATTTGCAAGGAATGTTTTTTTTTTT